ACTTTTTGCATGTTACTTGTCTAACTAGAGAGTCCAACTTAATATTCATCTAAGGTAAGCAGAGCTCCTTTAAACGGTATGAGCTTTTCCTGTACATTCTGTGGGGATGAAAATCTTACCCATCACACACACACAGTCTGCCTCTCTCTCCCTATCCCCCCCTCCCACCCACACACAAAATAATGATCAAAGTTTATAAGGAGAACAAAAGACGTTTTTACATTTTCTTCAATAACATAAAAAAGTAATGTTCTTAATAACAAAGATCTGCACACTGCAATCCTATGCACCTCTCAATGGTCTCTCCATCCAAAAATCACTGTTAAAATTTTGCTTTCTTTATGTGTGTTAATTGTAAGCACATAGGATTGCATCATTTTGTTCACTCCATAATACATCTTAAGCGTCTTTCCATGTCAGTATGATATCAAGTTAGGGGATATTATGTTAAATCGTTCCCTTTTCCTCACTGCATGGATGTACCATAAAAGTTACACACTCCCTGAACTGGCACTGAGCTGTCTCGATGGCACAGTCCTTATGAACTCAGATACTTAAGGAGACGGGGAATGGCAAACTGGAAACAACTTTGCTGTGTTCTTCAAACTGACTGAAGTCATGCTATGCCTCAATAAACAATGTTTTTCATTACATAGCTGATAGTTAATACTCTCAGGTTGTAGTGGCATGTATGCTGTCCTCAATAATGATAAAGGATTTCTGCCATATCCTAATTCCTTACTCATGTTTACCCTCTATTTCCTTTACTTCTTCCTCAAAGGAGTCTTGATCTCCTATGAACGTGTATTCTGAAGTCTGCCATGTGGCACACTACTGTCCCCTGGTCTGGAACTCAGGACACTGTGCTTCACACAGTGAGATCATAGGGAGAAACGAATATGTAATAGAGTGTTCTTGGCCAGTTTAACACATATTCACACACAGCTTTGAAGGAAAATGTGTCACAATCAGTGCCACATAGGTGGTGTTAAAAAGGCACACAAATAGATGTTTGTTGAACCAAACCAGCTCATAAAATATTGCAAAATAACACTTTAGTTAAAATATCACAGTACTTTTCCATGTATTCTCTAATCTTGTCTTCACCATATCTGTTTGTAGCACACTACTAGAAACTAGTAAGCTATCCCACAGATAATGAGGGTCCCTTGTTCAAGAACATCAGGTAATACTGTAGGCTTCTGTCTCACAGTCTACTAGACTATTATGGTTTCCTTCTAAACATCTGAAAACAGTTTTAGAAAGAAAAATGTTGGAATGAAAAACCTGTACTTAATGATATTTCAAAGCAATGAGATCATTCAAATAACCACAAAATGAGTAGAAATGTAAGAGCTTTAGAGCCTGGCTCAATTAATGCTATCTCTGAGAAGAGACAACTTGAAATGCCTCTGTGTTTACTCATCCAAAAACAACTGCTAGTCTGAATGCATATTTCCAAATCATCAAAATGAGAAAAGGCCGTATATTTCAGGGAGCTGTGCTAATGTAAATAGGAACATCTTCCCCTAAGCTGCCACATTTTCCTTTTCCTTCAAACTTTATCTCAGCACAGAAAGAATATGAAATTAAAGGAGCGCCCGTTATGAAAAATGAATGGGCCAAAACCTAAGGAAAGAAAACTAGAAATCACATCTTACCTCCTTTTCCATGAAGTCAAACTCTGCTGCACAGGTATACAATAAAGTATCAAAATCCTTGTAACTGAAGAATTTTGATGTTAGTAAGTTGCCAATATGAGCCTAGTGAGAAATAAAATGAGGTAACATTACATTAAGCCATATATTGTAATAATGCTCTATAATCTTTATAGTATCTAAAAATAGTTTGCACGATATTATAGATCCCACTGTTCCCATACCCAGCTTTTGCTTTTGTTAAAGAAGTGCTGTACCCTCCAATTTCACAGTTCCCCCTTCTTTTGCTGACAAGTGATAGCTCCAACACCCTGCCTTCCACACTCATCAACATGCCAAAGGCTTTTTCCCTTGGGCTTTCTCTGCTCACTGTGCCACACCTGGTGAAATATGTTACACAGCATCTCCTGTGCTGGAGCCTATCAGGAGGTGTGGGCTTGGGAACACATACAGACTTCTGTCAATCACAGAGGGACACAGGGCCACGGAGTACAGAAAAGGGAATGTTAATTCTGATTTCTGGAAAGGGGACTGAAAAGATGACTTGAGTAAAGTAGGAATGGGCAAGACTTGGAGTAAGAGGCACCTTTTGCCTTTAATCAACTCTCCTGCAATTCTTTACCTGTTATCAAGCTTTCTCACTTACACCACCACGTTCACCTCCCACAAAAAGCTATCTGAAGAAGGTGGAATTATTTTCACTTTATAGTGAGAAAGCTAGGAGGCAAAGACACAAAACATTTGCCAAACTTTAAAGTTTATCACTGTCTTAAAAAGCAAGGAAAAGGAGAAATTATGCCTCAGACAAACTGTAACTAAAATTCTGCATGATATCTACATGAAGAAGGATCAGGTGAAAGGAGAAACTGAAGGGTGCTAGGGATGTGACGAAGCATTTCAAAACACTTTGTCTTGTTGGGGGAAGAGCTACATACTGATAAGGGAGAATATACGGCACCTAAAACAGCATAAGGGAACAAATCCCAAATAAAATGGGATAAGTCCTAGTATAATGATAATTGCAATATATGTACAGAGCTTAAATTCACTAATTAAAGGACAGATGCTGAAATTGGATTTAAAAGGAAAACATCCAGTATTATGTTGTCTACAAAAAGATATTTAAAACAAAAGTACAGGGGCTGGCTGGTTAGCTCAGCTAGTTAGAGCGTGGTGCTGACAATCAATCAACAGTACATAAAAAGGTTGAAAATAGGAGAACAGAATAAGATAAACCTGAAACAAAGAAATCTAGCTTAGCAACTGTAATGTATCACAAAAATAAATTCAAGCAACAAATATATGGAAAGAGACAACAAAAATATTACATGCTGGTAAAATGAACAGCAAAGCAGGATTAAATGTATCATGAACATATTTGCAGTCAACAATATAGATTCAAAGTATGTAAAAGAATAACTGACAAAACCATAGGAAAAAATAGATAAGTTGACAGTGTTCACTGGAAATGTGAAACACTAACCCCAGAGTAGAAAAAAGCAGGCAAAATTTAAAATAAAATGAAATCTGAATAATATAATTAATAGGTTCACAAAGAATATAAACTTGAGAGAAAATACATATTATCCTTGAACACAAGTAAAATATGTTTTTTAAATGTTTACATAGCATATCACAATACATTTCAAAAAACTGATATAATATAAAAGTTTTTTTCTGATCATAAATGCAGTAAAACTAGAAAATAACTACGAATGGCCTTAAAAATCCTTTTGGTTAGAAACTAAATAACATAAAACCTAACATCTGTAAGTAAAAGATATTAAAAGAAAATTACAAAATAGCCAATTTGTAAGATACACAAAAGAGTACTTCTTATAGGGAAATTTTAGCTTGAAATGCATTTATCAAAAAATAAGAGGGTGGAAAACCAAAGAGCTAAGCATTTCCCCTCAGGCATCAGAAAAAGCCATAGAACCAAAGAAATGAGGATAAGAACAGATATTGGTAAGACAGAAATACAACAAAGCCAAAGAGAACCAAAAAAAGGTGGAACTTCGAAAATACTAAAACAATACATAGGCCACTTGATTTGGGGCACACAGCAAAAAACCTATGCTCAGAGGTATTATCAGCAAAAAAGAAAACGATAGAAAAAATATTCAAACTAAGAAAATCACCAAAAACCTCCCAATTTTGATGAATAATAGGAACCTACAGAAGTTCAATAAATACCTGGAAGGATGAACACAAAATGATCCATATCTAGGTATATCACAGTCAAACTTTTAAATGTGAAAGAGAAAGAGAAAATCTTGAAAGCAGTAACAGAAAAACCACTTAAGCATGGGGGAAAACATATTAAACGATTAATATTAGTAACCCTTTATTTTGTTAATATTAATAAAACAATATTCATTGACTGGCTTCTCATGAGAAATAACAGAGGTCATCAGTTCTAAAAGAAAAGAACTGCCAACCAATAACTTTATATCCAGAAAAATTAGCCTTATAAAATAAAGGAAAATACTCGTAAAAACATTAAGTACAAAAGGAACACAGCCCAAGAGAATCCACTGCTAGCAGACCTGCGTTATAAGAATTGTAAAGGAAATCCTTCAGGCTGAAGGGAGATAACACCGCACAATAACTCACATCCACAGGAAGAAATGAAGAGCAATAAACGTGGCAAAAATTGGGGTGAACATAAAAGGCAATCTAAATACTTTTTTCTGTTTGTTTGTTCTTCTCTTAATCTCTGTAAGATATAGGACTGCACAAAGCAGCAACCGTACTCTGTATTGTTGGCACTTACATATAGATGGGATTATATGTAAAATGAGAGGGAAAGTGGAGTTACACTGGAGCAAAGGCACGATGTATTTTACCTGAATTAAGTCAGTATTAGCCTGAAGCAGACTGTGATAAATTAATNTCCCACCAGACCATGTCTTACTCAGTTTTTATCTCTAGGATACATTAAGGCACATAGAAGGTACACAGTGAATGGACGAATAAATACATTTTAAATTGCAGTTTTATACTTTTAAAAATCTTTTCATAGGTTACAGACCACTCATTTAATAGCCCAGTTATTTTCAGTCTTCTTCAGCAGAAAATCCCTTGTTCATATGGAAACCTACATAAATGTCCAACATGTTAGAGGTTAAAGCTAAGCTGTCCTGGGTAAAAGAGGGGCAGCGAGGAAGTGGAAGAGCAGAGACTCCACAGAAGAGTTCTTGGAAGTCCTAGGACTTCACGGAACCCAGTTTCAAAACCACAGCTTTCGAAGGGAGACCAAACATCCTCATTACGACAAAATGATGGTTTGTAATGATGAACACGCCAATTACCCTGATTTGATCACCACACACTGTAAACATGTATTGAAATATAACTCTGTACCCCACAAATACGTATAATCGATATGTTTCAATTTTTAAAAATGAATAAAAACCACAGCTTTAATCTAGTACAGACAGCTTTCGAAGGGAGACCAAACATCCTCATTACGACAAAATGATGGTTTGTAATGATGAACATGCCAATTACCCTGATTTGATCATCACACACTGTAAACATGTATTGAAATATAACTCTGTACCCCACAAATACGTATAATCGATATGTTTCAATTTTTAAAAATAAATAAAAACCACAGCTTTAATCTAGTACAGAAGGAAGAAATGTCACCCATAAAAATAAACCACAGAAAAAAACATATGGTTTACTTTACTTTTTCCATGTTGGTTCTCGTGTTGCTTTCTTTTTAAAATTAAAACTTTGATAGCCTCTGCATAGGATGTGCTGATTAAAACACCAAAATAAAACAGGAAAAGCAATTTTGGAGAGGAAGAATCCTTGAAGTTATAAAGCAGAATTCTTCTCATTTTAATTTCTCTCTTATCCTAATACCAAAACAAATTAAAAAAAAAAATACTTCTCTTAATAAGACTAACTTGGATTAAATTATCGATAAAGACTTTATAAACCTTTTACAAGAACTGACCAAAAAAATGGGGGGAAAAAAGAATGAGACTATTATATGATCTCCAGTTAATGGTCTGAAGATGGTGTCTTTATTTGTTACATCAGGGAATTATAAAGAAGCTAGAGAAAAATGTCTGCATAGACCCTAAAATTTAAGCTTTAATATCTAGAGTTTTCTTACTTTAAAATTTTAAAATCTTTGTGATACAGAAGGACCATTAAAATCAGACAATGTGTCAAGAAATTAATTTTGGAGAATAAAACTATATATATAATCACATTTACTTTTTATTTTATTAATTAGATAAAATAATAGATGAGCAGACTTCATCCTACAATTTAGATTAAACAGTGATACTTTAATAACTCAAATAATTCATTCTTGGCCTATTGGATTCTTTTCAAGTCTTTCAAATTTAAGCAAAAATGCACTTACATCATCTGCAATGCCAAAGATTTTAGATGTCAAATATTTGAGTATGACAGTTCCAAATAACCAAAAACATCCTTGGATAACCTAAAATTGAAAAATAAAACAGAACAAAAATAACTTATGTTTCATATTTCATAAACATGGGATAGGAAGAAAAAAATAAATGTATTACTCACACATGAAATAAATATCTCTATTTCCAAAAGAAAATGCTAAAAAACATATCTCAATTTAAAATAAAGAATGTTGCTCTGAAAACAAGGGGCAATAACTAAAACTAGAAATATATACATACAATCTTATCAAAATTAGTATGTTTTATATAGCAATTGCGGTTACTAGCAGTTTAACAGTTTCTCATACATGCACTGTTTCTCAGAAGAAACATGAGTAATAATATAAATAAAACTGAAATTCCTTTAACTAATGATCTGGGACCAATCTCAAGTTATTTCCTGAAAAAGGCAATTTGGCACATTAAAAATGAACCCTAATATATTATAAAATTGTGAGATCCCCTTGAATTACATAGGTCTTTTCCTTAAAAGTAAAACATAAAACCAATGATATGTTTTAGAGAAGGAAAAACATACTCATTAAAATAGATTGATTCTTACCCATAAACTAAGTTCAGATACATTTATTTTCAGGAAATGTGGTTTCATTGCCAGAATACCCTGAGTAGAGAAAATAACATGGTATACAGTTAATACTTTACAGACATAAATTTAAGTACCAAAACATTCTTCTAAATAATAAGACTCTCAAGCATCTAAAATTCAGCACACTGTCGACCTTCCACACAGCATCATCACATGCTCTTTTCTGCAGTCAGTGATTTCAAGAAATAGCCCTATTTAATCCAAAGTAGATTAGTTAGTAACTTCATAAAATTGAAAAGAGACTCACCATATATAAATTTCTATCACTGATTTTACAAATCTGATTTACCTAAGAACCAAGAGGTATATTAAAAATTTCAGAATTTTAGACAGTAGTCAGATAGGCATAAGATTTTCCTTAAGCTAAAAAATGACTGTCTCTTAGGATAAACTACATGTAAAATTTTTAATGGATCAACTAAATATTTCTCCTCTGTCAAAGCTTAAGTCTCTCCAGGTACACACACTCCCCAACTGTATTACCTATATGGAGCTAAACTACTTCAAACGTTGGCAAAAATATGGTTAGAGTTCAAAACATAAGTACTTGAAACTAAATTCAATGTTTTCAGAAGTTTCTCAATATCTGAGAACACAAAATGTGACATGATCCAGGTTTCAAAGTGATTCATATAAATAAACATGTGCAAATGGGTGTGTATAGATAAAGATGCATGAACATGTTGTATTCTGTAAATGCTGGCATCATTTATATTTATACACCAAAATATATTAAATATAAATAAATATGTGCAATTCATACCTAAAACAAATCTAAGTGTCAAGCACCTAGCAGGGTAACTGACTGAGTACAGGCGCTCCACTTAACTAAAGAGAAACTTCCCACAAAATGTATTTAGATTAGATTTTATTCATAGGCAATATTCAATTTAATGCCTTCCCTGTACATGAGTACCAAGAATTATGTACGTTATCCTGGATAATAGCAGCACTTGCCAATGTACGCATGTAAAATATAGAATTGAGTACATTGTCACATTTTCCAATTACTAAGAGAATACACTGACTTTAAGAACGATACTTATTAATCCCAAAGCAAAGCAATTCAGTTCATGATTTTTGTTGTTACTGTTGTTGAAAACACAACATTGCCACAGGCCAATTGCTAATTTCTGTGACCAAGTATACCAGAGGCATACAACCTGAAAAGGGTGGTGGCCCTGATTGGGAAGAGGCATATTCTTGGGAAATAGGTTCTTAAATAAACATTACTTGTAAAATGGGATAAAGAAATAAGAGGTTCCAAATCCATTAGCGTGTTCAGAAATAAAGAAAGCCAAAATGATCTAACTTAAATTACTCAAGAAGTAGAATATCATTTCAATTAAGACAGTGCAATATGTTTTTTTCTTCAGCAAACTGTCCTATACTGAAGTTCACACATTTTAAATATAAGTATAATATGATAATGTAATAGTAACAACACAATATTAATATAATAATAGTCTAACATAATACTTAGGTTTATGAAACACTGTAAGGGTAAAGCACATTGAAAAAAGAAATAACCATCCCTAGAAGTCTTTAAATTTCAGAACACTTTTCTATTTAGAAAGTCATCCTGCCAAAAGTGTCAGGAGAAATTAGATGACCTTTCTCCATTTGTTCTAATTCTGTTAGTTTCCCCATAATCTAAAACTGTTCTTGGTAGTGATTTAGGAAAATATAACTGAATTACCGTCTGACTTAAACTATCTGAATATTCCATATAAATAGACAAGAGGTGAAAAACAACCCTCAGCAACAGGGTCTCAAGCCTCTGACCACGGCAGAAAGGAGAAGTGAGGCTGCTGTGAGCCAGCAGTGGGAGGAAAGGGATAAAAACTGAAAAGAGGAAGGGAAAGGATAAGAAGAAGAAAGCATAGAAACCTTTCTGAAATGAACCCCGGGACCAATTCTCAGGTGACAAGAAAGCTGAGGAAAGAGAAATTCAGGGCAGATGAGGGCTGCGAGGCAAGGTGCAGGGCTGTCTGATCCTAACTTCCCATTGTGTTTGGCTCCTGTTTTGGAAGTGAGTGGTTGAGCCCTATCATATATAGATGCATTCAGTAAGACACTGGAAACAGTTCCTACAGAAACCCTCACAAATCCCAAGCCTGTGATAAAGAAACTGATCCCATTAGTTTACAAAACAGGCACGTACTTACGGAACACTTACCCAAATAATTACCAAAGAGGATGCATAATAAGAAGTTAGTAACATTGAGTTCCCAAACATCAAAACAAAACAAAGTGCAAGAGAAATCTGGAAAAATCCAAGAAAAAAATATAATTAACGCATATAAACAAAACACCCATTGACTTTCATTGTGAAAACAGCACATGCCCATGAGAAACAAAATCCAAACCATTCAAAAGGAAATACACAATGAAAACAGCCACTATCCACCCCACACTTCAATACCCCAGATACCCACCATCAACTTTCCTGTGTATCCTTCCAGACATCAACATGTATAAATTCTAGTTTATATTTTTTTAAAAAAACACAAATGGAATCTTACCCCATAAGCTATATACTCTTTCTTGCTTTTTACTCTTAATGTTTCAGAGAGTTTTCCACATCGATCTAAACCGATCTAATTAATTCTGCTTAAAAATTGAAAAAAGCTTTAACTCTAAAAATGTCCCATAGTTTATTTAACTGGTCCCCTGAGTACCACTGAACACTTAAGTGTTTTCCAGTTCTATTTTGTTTTGTTTTCCCTATCACAAACACTGCTATAATAAACATCCTTATGTGTACATCTTATGTACATGTCAACACATTTATGGACAAATTACTAGAAGTGGAATTGATGGATCAAGGATACACATTTTAAAATTTGAAAAAAAAATACTGACAAATTGTCCTACAAAAAGACTGTACCAACTTACTTTCCCACAAGTAGCGCATGAAAGTTCCTGTTGATGCATACTCTGGCTCATACTGTGTATTATTGTTTTAAATATTTGTCAACCTAATAGGAAAAAATGTTACCTCATTATCCCACTTTTCCATTCTTCTAATAGTGGATGAGACACAGCATCTTTTCTTCTGTGTGCTATTTATCTTGTCTTGTGTGTGTTTATGAACTGCTTATTCCCACTGCCCATTTTTCTATTAGATATTGGTTATTTTCCAAACTCCTTTCTTTACATATTACAGAACATAGAACATACATAGAACTCTCTTCATATATTACAAAACAAAGCTCCTTATCAAGCAAACATACTATAAATATTTCCCCAGTTTATTTTTTATCTTTGTGGTATTTTTGTATTACGGTTAGTTTCTAAATTTTTATGTTAGTCTTACTTATAGCCAGCTGATCTTTGACAAAGGCACAAAGAACATACATTGGGGAAAAGATGCCTCTTCAATAAATGGTGCTAGGAAAACTGGATAACAATTTGCAGAAGAATGAAACTTGATCCATACACCTTTTACCATATACCAAAATCAACTCAAAATGGATTAGAGACCTAAATATAAGGCCTGAAACTTTAAAATTCCTAGAAGAAAACGTGGGAGAAATGCTCTAGGATTTAGGACTGGGCAGTGACTTTATGAATAAAACCCCAAAAACACAGGCAACAAAAGAAAAAATAAACAAATGGGATTATATCACACTAAAAAGTTTCTGCACAGCAAAGGAGTAAAAAGACATCCTACAGAATGGGAGAAATTATTTTCAAAAAATGTATCCAACAAGGGATTAATATCCAGAATATACAAAGACCTCAGACAACTTTACAGCAAAAAACCAAACGATCCAATTAAAAAATGGGCAAAGGGGCTGAATGGACATTTCTCAAAGGAAGACATACAAATGGCCAATAGGTACATGAAAAAATGCTCAACATCACTAACGATCAGGGAATGCAATTCAAAACCACTCTGAGATATCACCTCACCCCAAGCAGACTGGCTACTATAAAAAAGGCAGAGAATAACAAATGCTGGCGAGAATGTGGAAAGAGAGGAAGCCTCCTGCACTGTTGGTGGGACTGTAAATTAGTACAGCCATTATGGAGAACAGTATGGGGGTTCCTTAAACAACTACAGATAGAATTTCCATATGATCCAGCAATCCCACTCCTTTGGATATATCCAGAGGATTGGAAAACATCAGGTCGAAGGGACACCTGCACTCCCATGTTTACAGCAGCTCTATTTACAATAGCTGGGCAATGGACCCAACCTAAATGTCCACCGATGGATGACTAGATAAGGAAATTGTGGTATATATACACAATGGAATACTACTCAGCCATAAAAAAGAATGAAATTCTACCATTTGCAATAACATGGATGAGCCTGGAGAACATTATCCTAAGTGAAACAACCCAGGTACAGAAAGAGAAATACTGCATGTTCTCACTCATAACTGGGAGCTCAATCCATAAACAAACAAACAATAAAGAGAGACAGAGAGAAAGAAAGAAAGAAACAACAATCACAGTAATACGCTGAACTTTTAGAAAACTACAGATAGAAAAGGTGAGAGGAAGGGGGGCTAATGAGGAATTGGTCAATGGACACAAAGAATGATTATGTATCGTAATGACGAATAAGCTAAGTATACTGATCTAACCACCACACATTCTACACAATTATTGAAAATCAATGTTGTACCCCACATGTATGTATAATAAAAAATACAAAATACAAATAAAAATAAATAAATTTTATGTCTAATTTATTTTAGGTCTTTAGGACTTATTTCCATAATTAGAAAAGTCTTTAAAAATATAATAATCCATATTTTCTTTTAGAAGTTTTATTTTTAATCCATATATATAAATTTCCATGTGAATTTTAGAACCACGTTATTAAGTTTCAAAAACTGAAACTTTTTATTCAGTAATGTACCTTATATTTATAGTTACATCCAACCTTGAATCTTTAGATCCAAAAAAAATACACCTTGCTTCTATTTATTTAAGTTGTCTTTTACCTACATTAGTTAGCATAAAGTTTTCTTCATATAGATGCTGCATATTTAAGTTTATTCTGAAGTATATTATTTCTGTTCCTACTGTATCAGGAATCTTTTTTTATATTTTTTCACTATTCTTTGTATATAGAAAAGTTATATTAAATATGCATCAACGAATAAAATTTTTCATTGTTTCTAGTAATAGTTTATTAATTTGGATTTTTCAGGTATTCAAAATCATATCACTTGCAAACAATGACACTTTTACATCTTCCTTTCCTATTTTTAAAACTCCTATTTTTTACTCAACTGTATTAGTATTTCTGCAACATTATTAAGTAGTAAGAGTGGCAGTAGGTACATTTGAGGTGTGTGTATGTATTTAAAATTTCAATGAAATATCCATCTACTTTTACTTAAGGTCTAAAAGTCATAAATAGATGTTGACTTTTAGCAAATTACCTTTTTAACATCAAAGAAAATGACTGTATTGCTGATATTTTTTTAAACCACTTAATGTGATAAATTATATTAATAGCATTCCTAATGTCAGAACATTCTTGCATTCCTGTAATGAACTTAACTTATCATGGTATGTTATTCTCATATACTCAACTAAATGCGTAAGTAGCCAAATTCTCAAAATTTTATGAAAATTGTTTTTATCCATAAGTGCTAAAATTTAACACTAACTCTAAAATTTTCCCAATCAATTTTGGCAAAAATTAAGAGAAAACCATTATTTTGAATAAATGGATTCATGATCAAAAATCAGGCAAACGATGCCAAGGGTATTCAAGAGAAAATGTAAGGCAGAAGGTACTAAAGGTCTCAAGAGATATGTGGGGTTGAAATCAGTAAAATACACATTAACTTAAATAAAAGAATCCTGACATTGCTGAGAATGACCTCTCTGTTAATCAAACTCAGTATATGGCTTTTACAGTAAATCAAAGGAAGAGAGGGGAAAATTAGATAAATGTCTCAGAATCATTAAACGTGAAAATACACTGTAACTCTTGCTTTGTCTGCAATGCTACACTTAATGAAATTTAATTCACGTGAACTCAATCAACATTTACAGAGCCAGTTAGAGCTTCTAGATACAAAGCACCAAGTGCTTTAGGACCTGAATTGGAGACTAAGAAATTCCAGAGAGATGGAATTGAGGAAGAAGGGGCTGTGCAGGGAGGGAATGCTAATAACATATAAAAGAGCTCAGAACTGAAAAGTAAGCTTTGAAGAATTTGAAACCGAGGTGCCCCTAGTAAAACAGGATTCAAGATGAGTGCTACACACACTCAATGAAAAGATGACCTGAGAACATACTCTGTAGTGGAGAAAACACGAACCGAGAAATCAAAGTAGAAAGAAAGAAAAAGAAGAAAGTGTGACGTCTTAATGTAAACCTGTCTAAACCAAACCTCTGATCTTCTCTGATAAAATCTTTTTCTCTTGAAATCTTTTCCATCTTTTGGATGCCAAAATTACCCTTCCAGTCCTCAGTGCACTAGCCAAAAACTTTGTCTCTCTCTCTCCGCTCGCTCGTATACCGCCCCCACCCCCCATTCAATTCATTAGCAAATCCTGTTGGCTCCGATATCAAAATGTGTCCAGAATGTGATCACTTCTCTCCAATGCTGCTGCTAAAATCCTGGCCCGAACTGGCATTCCTATTCTTTCCTTCCCTCTCCCAGCTCCTGAATGAGGCCCCCGCGACAGGCCTCCCTTAGAATACCCATTAGTCCATTTCCAACCCAGCAGCCAGATGTGGTCATTTCTCTGTTCAAACACTTTCAGGGCTTTGATTCTCACTCCAAGGAGAAGCCAAAGGCCTTACAGTGACCCACGAAGTGCTACAGAGTCTGCCCCCACTAACCTCTGGGACCTCGTTTCCTAGTCCTCTTTCCCCTCTCACTCCAACCAGCCACACTGCAGGTTCCCAGAGCACACCAGGTACACCCCACCTCAGAGCACCTGTGCTTGCTCTTCCTTTCACCCAAGGGCTCGCTCCCTGAGCCTCCTCACTATCCCCACGTCAACTGCTCAGTGAGGCTTCCCTCCTCACGCTTTACAATTACAATCTCTCCTACCTACTCAGCAAATCCCATCTTCCTTGTCTGCTTTATTTTCCTTAATATTACTTACTCCCCTATAACACACTCTTTATCCTACATATTTAGTTTATTTCTGCTATGTAGACTAGAATATAAGCGCCATGAGGGAAGGGATCTTTATCATTTTTATCACTGCTATATCTTAAGTTCCTAGAAAATCCTTGATAAAACATTGGTGGTCAAAAACCATAAA